CTCCCAGCATCTCCGGGGCCTCCTCTGGCCCCGCTCCACCAGGTCCATGTCTCTCCTGTGCTGAGGCCCCCGAGCTGGAGGCGGCACTGCAGGGGGGTCTCCCCAGAGCAGAGCAGAGCGCAGCAGAGGGGCACAATCCCCCCTCGCCCTGCTGGCCACGCTGCTGGGGATGCAGCCCGGCATGCCGGGGGCTCACTGGGCTGCCAGCGCACGTTGCCGGTTCATGGCCAGCTTTTCCTCCCCAGCACCCCCCAGTCCTTCTCGGCAGGGCTGCTCTCCATCCCTCCATCCCCAACCTGTATGGATATCAGGGATTGCCCCAACCCACATGCAGGACATGCCCTTGGCCTTGTTGAACCTCATGAGGTTTGAGTCTCACCAAAGGCTCATCCACCCCAGCACGAGTCTGAAACAGTGGAGAGCCGGGAGCGTACAGGAACAGAGCAAGTACACGTCCGTCTTTGCTCTTTGACCCAGAGGTGGCACCTTCCAGTTTAACAGCCCTCAGTGGATTTTTCCACCAAATCACCAGGGACACGGAGAAAGTGAAGGGGGAATAAAAACGACAGCCAGCACGGTGAAAGCAGCACTGTTCTCTTGCATGAGAATAAAACTCAGAATAATTAAAAAGAGGAACAAAACTGCTGGGATGGAGTTTTACTCAACACAAACACGTTGAGTGCTGAAATAAATTTTCTGTAGACCTACGACACGCTTGGCAATGAGGATAGAGGTGGAAATTGTGCCAAAATGCTGGAGAAGGGGGACAGGATCTGAGCAGCGGGGAGAGACAGGGCAGGACAAGCACAGCAGTGTGCACGGCGCTGACATTTCCCTTCTCTTAGATGTCCAGCTACCAAGTCCTTGGGCCCCGGAGGGGAGCCCAGAAGGAGCCGGGTCCCAGCCGTGGACATCGCTGCTGCTCTCGGTGTTGGCTGCAGCGGTTGGAGACACGAGAGGGGAAACGGTCTGTGCGGGGGGACCTGCTGAGCCCCAGCAGAACCACCGAGCGCTCAGGTTTACCTTATAAACTGGAGAGGACTGGGCTGTGCTGACTGCTCCTCCTCCTCCTCTCCAAACAAGAGGTCAAGGCAGGACTTGAGGCCTTCCAAGAAGACAAGCTGTCCCCGTTCTTTGGCAGCTGTCAGACTGACTCCCTCGAGAGAAGAAAAAGTGATGTTGCAGAGCGAACAGCTTTGGAGCAATGGTGCAAACAGAACCAAGCAGATCGACAGCCGATTTTCATCAGGTCTAACCTAAATGTGCTAATAAAGTCAATGCCTCGGGGACTCTTGCACAGCGGATGTGAGAGGCAGTTCTGTGACACACACTGGTGGACACATTTGCTTTCCTGTATTTTGCCAGGAGGAAAAAATAAATCCACCGATATGGGGGGGGGGGGGTCAAACATCCTGGAATTGCTCCCAGGAAGACAACAGCGTCATTGCATGGGAGAAAAACAGCTTCTTATCCAGAGGCAGGGAGAGGATGGGTATGGACTTCTCCACGCTGCCCCAAGGACCCTGCTGTGAACAATTTCTTCGCCCTCCCTTCTCGGGTGGCAAAAGCATTTGGTTTTCACTATCTCCCAATCATCGCTGTGGCAATAACGACTCCCCGGCACAACCCACGCACCTGAGCGAGGCACGGCCTGGACCTGGAGAACGCCGTGGGCTGGGCACCCCGACGCTTGCACAACGGGCGGGAGAGAGCAGCCTGGCCGGGGCTCCCATGGGAAGCAGCCTCAGCCCCGACTCCCCTTTGGAGAAGGAGGAGGGCCCATGACAAACCTCTTGGGGCCGTGACTCAAACTCACGCTGAGGTTTCCTGCTCTCAGCCCTGCTTCGCCATGAGGCTGACCTCGAGAGCCACGTGCTGGGCATGTCCAGCCCCAACAGAGATGTCTGTTGCAGCAGATGTGCAGAAGACCCCGACTGGAGATCTAGTTCCTGAACTCCTTCCTCATCCTCCTTTCTTTCATCAGCAAGGGCTACTTTTGCCAACCTTTCTATAATTCCTGCGCTTACTGGTGACCGCGTCAGTCCGCCTTTCAGGAGAAAATTTAGTACCTGTTACTGGCATGATCATACAAAGACATCTCATGCACACTAGCTTCAAACCTCGGCCAAACTGTGCATTCCCCGGCAGGAAGAAGTGCAAATTTGTTCGGCTTCGCAGTGTGGGTTGCTTCCCACATTTCACAATGGGACTGCCATTTCTTAAAATGGAACAAAGGAGCATCAACGCCAAGATTCGCAGCGTCTTGGCAGCCTGGAAATAGGGCTGTTGCGCAACGCAGGAGGTAGGTGGACAAGATGGCGAGATAGACGGTTTACAAAGAGTTCAGGAAGGTTTAGCTCAATGCAGTATTGCTCGACTGGCAGAACTGGTGAGGCAGGGGCCAGGAACCAGAAACAAAGATCCTGAGAAAGCGGTTCCCATATCCCCCGGGAGAAGACATCCCTTTGGGATGCTGTGAGATTTTGAACCCTCTGAAGAGGGTGGCAGAGCAGGACTGGTCAGGAACAGAGGCAAGTCCCAGGACAGGAGCAGGAGCCCTTACCTTAAGCCAGGACTGGCTTCTGCCTGAACACTGGAAGAGGCCCACACCAGCAGCACTGGTGCTTTTGACCTGGAACTTTGTAAGCATCACAGAAAATACAGATTTTTGCTTTTTTTTCCCTAAGCAATCTCACTGCGAGCTGCAGGACGCTCGAGCACAGAGTCCGAGTTGTTCAGCAAGGGGAAGGCTCGTAGCAGCTCTTCCCCCAGGACTTCGAGCACCGAAGAGCGCTGTGCTCGGCACTGTCCCAACACCTTCTTTTGAAAAGACCTCAGAGGTTTTCCAAGCGTTTCCCAGTCCTCGTGACGCCCCAAGAGCCATCTCTCTTTGCTCACACGTGAGAGACGCAGCAAAGCGATGTGTCCACTTCCACCTCCTGATTTCTACCCTTTCTTTTCACCCGCTCAACCTTCCTGTTATCCTGACGTGAAAATGTCAGTCCAACATTTTAACCCCTTTTTTTTTCCCCCTCTTTTTTATTTAAAAAATAAAAAGATTGTAAAGCCGCATCTTAAACATCTGATCAATGAGATGATCCCTGCAAGGGGCTGGGCCCAGCTGCATTGTGAGCGTGGCATTTCCACACGAGGACCTCCAGGGAGAAGGTCTGGGTAGATAAGGACGAGGTCCTTTCCAGGAAGATTACCCCTGAGCTCCTGCAAGGCTTATCAGTTGCCACACGTTCAGCGCTAATGAGAGGAAAGACGGATTTCCACTGCTTTCCCTCCCAGCGAGGGGGAGAGATCCATTCATCAGCGCTGCTGCCAGAAAACACTGTCTACAGCAATTAGAAAACAACGGATCGGAGGCAACGTCTTCCATCACGGCCAGGGGATACTTTGACAAGCGGAGGCTCCTCCAAGGCAAAGGATGTCTGACGTGTCCCCACCTCAGATCCAGTTTTTAAATCAGCCCTGAGCTTGCCTTTCTTTTTCCTGGTCTTCCACACATGCTTCTGGGAGGAAAGCAGTCCCACCTGCCACGAAAACTCCGCAAACTCCAAACTCCGGGAAAGAGAGCCACAGGCGAGGCACCAGTCAGCACTTTTGGCCATATCCCTTTTGTTTTCAAGCACTTTCTCAATGAAGAGCATTAACCAGCAAGTGTTGCAGCACGCTCTCGCCTCATCTAATCCACGTTCTCTCCACTCTTTTCCCCTTCTCCCTGGCAAGCCAAGAGCAGTAATTCCTACAAATGAGACTCTTACGGAGCACACGGATCTTTGTTCTCTGTTCTCCCTGCCATACCTCCTGCCGGCCCCGAGCCCAGCAGAGGCTGATGTGGGCTACAGGCGGAGGGATTCAGCTTTTCCAGGTGATATTTACTCACTAAAACCGTGCCAGAAAGCAGGGCAGGAACGGAGAGCTAAGGGATGCCTCTTGGGCAACTGCAAGCACACACGATGGAAAAATTTGTAGCCAAGGACAGAAGAACCTTTATGCAGCAGGCCGGGAGCGGGGAACGGCCGGCAAATACCTGACGTGCCAGAAAGCAGGGCTGGGTTGCACGGCAGTCTCCCAACCCTCATCCCCTCGTGAATTTTTGGAGGCCACAGGACTCGGCACTTGCCGAAATGCTTTGCTACAGCAGTGGCTAAATACGCGATTCATGTCAATAATTCAGAAACTTCTTTTAACTTTGCTTCAGCCATTTCTTCCTGCACACACAAACTCTCTATACTTCAAGAGCAGCAAGGAAAGTGTCCCCTCTTTAAAATACCCAGAAACTTTGTGCTGTGACACCGGGACCTGCCTGGACGACAGAGGGAAGTGCCACAACATGAGAGGAAGGCAGCCAGGGGCAGTATGCTCGTGGGTCAGACCAGGAATTCAATCCCCTCCGTGCCATGATGTTCCTGGGTGAATCCAGCAAGTCCAGTCTAATTTTCCAACTGAGGAACTGGGTCCCAGAAGGACAGCATCTGATGGAGACCTGGACTCACCCCAGTGTGGTCAACCTGCCATAGCAAACCTCTTCTCGTCTCCCAGCTAGCAGCCCGCCCGATGTAACTTCTGGAAGCAGCACAGGAAGCGTCAGGATAGTTTGGAGATGGTGGAAAAAGTGCTCAAAACGGCCAACGGCACCTGCCTGACTGCCACAGACGCTACGCACGTCCCTGCTGCAGAGCCACAGTGCCGCAGAGCACCCAAACAGCCTGCATTACCATCCCTGAAAGCTTTCATTATCTCACAGCACCACGCTCCATTATCGCCGGGAACACATAGACATTATCTCTGGCAATCTGTCATTTATCGATCAAGCCCAGAAATGCTTCTGAAACAGCAGCTCGGGGCGACTGGAGCTGCGAGCTCCGCAATGGAGCACAATTTTTTCTCGTCCGTCCAGGATGCTGCCAGCCAGGCAGCGTGGCAGCCCACCCGCCTGCCAGCAGTGACATCCCTTCAAACCAGAACCGCCGCTCGCCGCTGGCCATTTCATAAGGGAAAGCAAAATATTTGCAAGAGAGGACTAGTAATGGAGCGTGCGAGGCAGCGGGCATTAGCTCATATAGCGAACGCAGCCGTGGTACAAAGTGCGATAATCTGTGATCGGGCAACCGGCCAACATCTCTTCTCTTGTACAACTACCTGCAGGGGAAAGTAGAGGTGACCGGGCGATGTCCTCAGGTCTGTGATCTCAGCGCTGTGGCAGGGAACAGGGGAGCAAGCGAGAGGGAAACCAAATGGGGATAAATATGTTTTTCCTTTAAAACAAAACAACCATCGTACAAATGAGGGTGGGAACACCAACCTGGCAGGCTGCCCTGGTGCCATTAGACTTGCTACGGCCCAGCATGTTCTCTACAAGGTCACAACAAATAACATTAACTGTCCCTTAAATTAAGTGCAGATCCTCATGAAAAGAGCGGGATTTGCAGAAAAGGAAAAGTGTGAAGCCAGTATTGCAGAGCCAGCACAGGCACAAAAATCCAGGGGAGCTTTGTCCTGCAAATAAAAATCACAGAATCATAGAATCACAGAATGGTTTAGGTTGGAAGGGACATTGAAGATCATCCAGTTCCACCCCCCCTGCCATGGGCAGGGACACCTCTCACCAGCCCAGGTTGCCCAAGGCCATGTCCAGCCTGGCCTTGAACACCTCCAGGGATGGGGCCTCACCAACCTCTCTGGGCAACCTCTTCCAGTGCCTCACCACCCTCAAAGTGAAAAACTTCTTCCTAATGTTTAATCTAAACCTGCCCTCTTCCAGTTTATAGCCATTCCCCCTCGTCCTGTCACTCCATGCCCCAGTAAAAAGTCCTTCCCCAGCTCTCCTGGACTCCCTTTAGGGACTGGAAGGCGGCAATAAGATCTCCCCAGAGCCTTCTCTTCTCCAAAGAAGTCACTGCATTTAGCTAACACATAAGGATCTGGTTCTAGACTGGTAAGACCTGGAAACACCGTGGGGAAGCAGCACGTAAGGCAAGCATTACTTCAATTATATACAAATATTCAGTATATCACCAGACATCAGCTGCTAAAGGACCAGATCCCCAAAACATCGCTGTTAAGACTGTGTAACATGACCCTGACTCCAGGACCCTTCCTCCCAGGCCTGCGACCACCCTGTTCCCAGCAGGAACAGGACCATCACAAAGTTATGAAGCTCTTCCAACTGCAGTCTTTCCTAAGTGCATCATCTTCTGCTAGGAATGATTACGCACGGGATATTTAACCTGTGGATGGGATAACATAACACAGGTGGCTACTCACAGGCCAGATTCTTCCAAGCAGTTCCCGGAGAAACTACAGCCTGACCCTCTGCAACTCTCCCGACCAACACAGAGAGCCAGGAGCTCGTCACCGAGGAAGAGGAGGTGGGAAAGGAGCAGCCAGTCGTTTCCTGGAGCGTACGGCACACCTAACTGCAGCATGACACAGCTCAGCGCTCTCCCTGAAACTGGAGTTTGCTACAGCCGTGTAAATGCCACGCGGGCTGGTCTCCAGCAGAGACCTACAGCAGCAAATTTTTAAGCAAGTCTAAGAGTGAAAAAGCCTCGCCAAAAAAAACCCCACCTTTACTGAGCCTGATGTGTTCATTTAGGCAAAGGAGGATTAAAGCAGAGACAAGATCTTACGGGAACTCAGACAGATATAAATAACCGATGTTACGACCTCCAACTCCTCAGAGCTTAGGAGGAATTCACAACAACCAACAGCACGGGCACCTGTGAAGTTATAACGCAAGACTGACTCAGACTTGAAACCAACGGGACAGGGACAGCTCAGCGCTGCGGGCAAATGTAATCGCTTCTCTGAACTCCCCTGGGCAAGCTGTATTGTTCTTCTTATCACCTCTCTTCATGCCAGTAACCTTTCTGTTGAAGCATCAGACAGCGAATCATTTCGATTTGCATTGCACGCGTGCTCCAGCTAATCCTCATGTTCTCTCCCTTCTCAGACTCTCCCACGAGGGAGATGACAACAGCACCTATTAAAAGCACACGCACAAGCTGTGCACCAGGAAATTTTACCACATTAGGAAACACACCAACGAACACAACTCTGCTTTCAGAGCCAGCAAGGATCCCATATTTAACAGCTGAATCTCCTACCTACACCGGTTGCTGTGCCCCGTTTCCTGTCCCACTTAGCAAATTCCCCCCATCAAGATTTCCTCCTCTCCACACCATGAAGGCCAGAACTATTCGGCGCTCGCCAAGGCTGGTGTGCTCAGGAGTGGGGAATCTGCTCTTGCAGGGAAATCGCACGTTGAGTATCTGCCTCTGAGTTAAAGCTCCACTGGGAAGTACTTCGTTCGTTTTATTTAGCTTAGGTCTGAGCTCTCAGACCACTGATCTCCTTTTAAAAGGTAAAAAATGAGTAGTAAATAAAATACAGTTGTTAAGCGAGCACCAAAACTCAACCCACATTTGCTGTGGAGAATACACCGTTATTGCAACGTCGAGTTCTTCAACACCTGGAAGTTTATAAGCAGCAGCACGGCTGGGATTTCCAGCAGAAGCGGAAGAGGGATGACCAACGCAAGCCCTCATCCCTTCAGCCCTGGAACGTCACTTGGACTTCCCAACCGGAGCATTTCACACCTGAGCAGTGTACAAAAAGCTGAGAGATGCAGTTTACACCCAGAGCTCAGACTGATTTGCTGACACTGGGAAAGACCATGTCTACTTTGTTGCTCCGTTTCCTCGTTTCAGGGTACACATAATCCTCGCCTGACTCACCATGGGAAGGAAACCCCTAAGAACACGCTCAGCGCTTGCGGCTCCTCAGACAGCTTGAACTGATGGCTTGGCCCAGAGGCCAAAAGAGGCATACAGGTGTCCTTCTTAGTCTACAGGTGATTCAGCCCAAAGCATTTCATCACAACGTAACCACAGGACAGAAGATAAAGTCACCTCAGGAGCTCCTGTGCCGTACAGCCAGTGCATCCTGCAGGCGTAGAGATGCCCCAGGGACGCAGGCACCATGGCATTTTTCTCCCCAGAGCACTAATGAAACTACATCTGCAACTACTCGGACCTGTAATTCTTAACCTAAGCCAACAGACTTACCAGCTTCTGTGCTACGATGTTATAGTGACTGAAGGACTGGAGCAGGGCCACAAAGCAAACCTTACAGCCAGCTGGGTGGGAAGACAAAAAGCCACGTTATCATTTCAATTTTGCAAGCTGCCATTATCAAAGCACATAAATCACAGCAGTCAGGCTACAAATCTGTCTGGAAAGACCTTGAAGTGAAACAGGTCTAGGCAGCCCCTCACTTGCTCATGGCCGGGCTTTCCATTTTCACCTTTCGACAAGATTTCCACACCAGGGAAAATGTCAGTCAGTTTAAAAAGAGAGGGAAAGAACCAAAAAAAGATGACATAAAAAAAAAGCAGAGGGCCCCTTTTCTGTCTCATGCCACCCTGCCCTGGGATCTCCTGGCACTGTTTGCTCACATTACTGCAAGGAGGCCAACGGCCGACCGTGACACGAACCACTAAAACCACTGATGTGCCAAAAATCCCCGTTTTGGCTCTCGCAGGGCAAGTGACCTTGACTGGAAAAACACACAGAACAAGCAATTTTGACAAAAACGCCTCACTGAAACGTGATTTTGGACAACCCAGCGCGTGACAACCTGGCCTCATGGTCTAGGTATGAAGAAAATGAGTATTTGTTTCTCCCTGCCAGAGGGCAGGACGTGGATTTCAAGTAGAACAAGTCAGTGGCCCCATTTGAGCCTTCACTGACCCCTCAGGAGCTCCCAAAGGTTTTGAACACCAAGCGGGTACTTGGACAACATGGGGGTGCTACAGACGTAGAGTAACTGGTACCCAGCTCCTGGGGTGGAAATGAGAGGGTGACGGCAAGGACACCTGCCTTGAGGTGCATTAATAATCCCAAAGCGCTGCTTTGTGGGGGATACCCACAAGGGACGGCGAGACTTTTCCCAGGCAGATGGGCAGCTCCGTCCCACGTCACCCAGGTCAGCACGTCAGCAGAGCCATGTGGGGACGCAGGCAGCCCCTGAGGCAGTGCATCGGTGGGGCTCTGAACAGTTGTCACTGTTAATAATCCGCTCTCCACGGCTTTTCCTGGAGTTTCACTCCGTTCCATTACGTAAAACAATATATTTTTTTTAAAACGGGGTAAAGCCATAGCTGAGGAAGTGGCAGTTAAGGTGGGGGGGGGGATGCTCTCAGCTCCACCACCTGCACAGCACTCCGAGCTAAGTTTCAAGTCTGATAGGTACCAGATTTGTTGGGCTGGCTGCTTCGCCAGCAGAAAGCTGGAGGAGTCCATGAATCCAGCGTCCACTCTGCAGGGGCTGGTAGGTTACTCACAGGTGAAACTGTGAGCAGAAAAGCAATTAGGCAACTTGCCAGGCTCTTTGTTTGGTTTTTTACTCACTACTAGCTTATCTATTTGTTACTTGTTCCTGATATTTTTAATTGCATTATAAAACACCTAGCTAGTGAAGGAACTACAGGCAACAGCTCATTGTCAGATGCCCATGTGATTTACAACGTTTGCTGCACTAATGACGAAACAAGGTGCACAGAGGTTACGGGATGTGCCCAAGGATATAGAGCAAGTCCCAAGAACAACTCAGGACTGGGATCCATACATGCTGACCCCAAAGCTCAGCGCTAATCCGAGGATGCCTCACACTCGGCAAAATCAGTCTCTGCTCACACAGAAACACTCTACGCTGAAGGAACCTCCAAGGAGCAGGCAAAGGCAAACCCTTGCCTTGAAGAATCCTGATGCTGACACACCTCTGAGGTAGAAGGAGAGGAAATGGTGCACCAGGAAACTGCCATCTGTTCTGGTGTCTCGCAGCAGCGTGAATTTACCCTGAAAAACAAGAAGTAAAAATCACTTAACAGAGGAAGATGAGGGCACAAACTGCTCCCAGTTAAAAGCTCTTGCGCTAGACCAAGACCCCAGCTGGATCCCCAAGCTCTTGTGCCCACCAAGAGCCACCGCCTCACATGGAAACACCCAGCTGCTGCAGAGGACCCCAACGAGCAGCACTGCACTTCCCAGTGACGGCACATCCAGAGCGTACACGTATTCGTGCCCCTGGTGCTGGACACCATCGTCATGGGTGGCCGTGAGCAGTTTCCATCTCCCAGCTCTGTCTTCCTCTTCTCCAGCTCACAGACATCTTCTGTCTACTCCAAGTGGCACAGATGGCAGGGGGACAACAGCCACCCACTCTGTTCCCAGTCCATTCTCCCACTGCCACGGCCAGCGTCGCCTGTGCGCTTAAAATGGCACTACGGCTGCTGCTTCTCCTGTCCCCAAATGGCTCTCCATGCCCCCTGTTCCAGGCTTACCTCAAACAGAGCAGAAAACCTTATCATCAAAATTTGTTTACTGGAGCTGAGCTTTCTGCGCAAAGTATATACCTTGTTTTCATCACGCAGGAAATTAATTCCGTTCATCAGCGCACGCTTGTTATCAGTACCAGTCTCATCAAGGCATTTGTTTCCATTAAAACCTTAGTCAAGATGTTTCTTTAATCAATACAAATCATAGAAGGGCTGCTTTTAATCACAAAGAACTTATCAATGCTTCCCCCCCCATTAAAACCTTAGTCAAGATGTTTCTTTAATCAATACAAATCATAGAAGGGCTGCTTTTAATCACAAAGAAGTTATCAATGCTTCCCCCCCCCCCAAATCTATTAGAAGAAAAAGCCTTTCACAGCAACAAGCAATCTACCCATAGGCAATTCACAAACCATCTATCAGAGTTAACTCCCCAGTGCCTAAAACGTGTTAAAAAGCGGTGCTAATGGAATGGCAAATATTGAACACGTCTGCAGGGAATGCAAAGCAGAAGTCAGGGTAGAGAAGTGCTGCACTGCCTCAGTCAGAGAGCTCTTTCCCACCCAAAAAAAAGGGTTGTGCCTCTGCGGCCGTTACAATAACAGGAGGCACCACCCTAGTGAGCATCTCACCGAGATGTAGCCTCCACTTCTAAGCTTGGAGGAGTCTCTGGATTCAAACAGCACAAGCTCCAAAGTTCAGCGGTCTAGTTTCTGCACAACTCCATCCCCTTCAACTCCCCTCTTCCCCGCAACGGCCCCCTGCAACAGCAGGCTGAATGCCACCCCAAGTCCCTTCCCTCGCCTGCCAGCTCCCGAAAGGCTCTCTTCCTTTGCTCCCACATGCTGCGCAGAACACGGCAGGATCTTATCATTCGGAGCACACATTATTTCACTTCTTCAAACCTTCTAGTTACCAGCCCTTAAATCCTGCCAACCCTCACTTGGCCGTCACGTTGCAGCTGCTTAGATAGCATTCAAAACTCTTCATTTCTGACGCTTAGATGTCCAGCTAGCCAGGGGTGGAAATGTCCAGACCGTGCATCTCCAAAGCACAGCTGGCGGCAGAAAGAGAAAGAAAGGAAGGAAGAAAGAAAGGAAGGAAGGCAACAGTTCCAGGAAACTCCAGCATCCTGCTTCTGGCCACAGAACTGCCCCAAAGCCTTTACCAACCCCAGAGCACAGGACACAAATAGAGGAATCGGGGCTCTACCAGTCGTGTCGA